ATATATATTATTGAATCATGCAATAAACCTACATAAAGGTTATGACGTTGAATTTCTCCCCATGGTAATATGAATATCAATTGACTGTATCAAATAGTGAGCAGATTTACCCATTTTCGAGCTTAACCCCCTAATCTGTAATTAGAAAAAGAGACTAGCCATACAAAATTGGTCCCTCGTTAATCTGTAATTATAAAATAATCTCAGATTAAACCTATAACTTCACTGATAATAAAATTTCGTAAAAGTGATACGAAAATCTTTCGTAGTGTTGGGTTTTGTACAATGTACGAAACTTTCGTTCATAATACAAACATATTTTTCACAACGAAACAAGATTTTACGAACCATACTTTCGTAAGGCATGTTTTCAGTACAGTTTACGAAATCTTACGTTTATTTTACGAAACACATTCGTAAAGCACTGAACAAATCTCTGTACGAATAATTTTGTATATTGTAGGAAGGCATTCGTAATACTTACGTATGGTTTTAAAATTCACGAAATCTACAATTCTGTATTCGTGCAATTTAGTTAATACTTTCGTATAAAGTACTAATGCAGAAACATGTTTTTTAAATTCGTACAACATACGAATATTTTCGTAAAATATACTCAATTACCGGCAGTTTAATAATTCATCATATTTTTTGTATCGCGTGTCATTGCGGAATTAATTGTTGGCTGCTGTGAAACGTATAATATAATTTTAAACGTTTTAAAAAGGGATTTTCTGGATAAAAAAAACAATACAAAATTAAATATTAAAGCTGTGGATATACTACGCTTTTAAGCATACAATGTTTTTAACATCGCCTACGCTGCGCCTTGCGCTGCAATGTGGGACTTGATAAATAGGCAATTTCATCAGTTACCAATCAACGGCAAGCCTAAGCCAGGAGTACTACTTAATGAAATTAAAAGTAAGTACATGTATGACTTTTCACTGAAACTTGCTTTTCAGACGCCTTATAATTTTCCTTTCATTTATAGTCGTCAAGGAAACAAACATCGATGAAGCTGCGAATCTGTCAAGTGCCTCTACATAAAAATATTGTAATGTAATATTGTCTCATAGTTTAACACTTTGCATCAATATATTTTATTGAATGAAGCCTAAGCAATAGAAAATATGTAGTATAGAACCTGTTCGTATGCATATAAATAAAAGACTTAAGTTTTATTATAGGTAAAATAAACTTTTTATTAATTCTAAACTACAGTGTAGTCAGAAAATTCTTCTTCTTTCGTAGAACGTATGATTGCTTTTATTATTAACACTATAAAAAACATGACTAAAATTACAGCACAACACTTTCATTATATTTTAATCAATAATGTTAAGCGTTTTTTACAGTGTGGAGAATGAAAGCAAAATCGCACATTCTACGAAACAAGCGCAGATTTTACGATAGTAATTTCGTTAAATATACGAATTATTTCTGTGCATTTTACAAAAATTTCGTAAAAAAATAAAGAAATAGTACGAATGTTTTTTAGTAAATAGTACGAAATTCGTTAGTAAATAGTACGAAATTCTTTAGTAAATAGTACTAAATTCTTTAGTAAATAGTACGAATACATTCGTAAAATGTACTAAAAATCTGATGCCTCATATTTTCGTAGTATGTACGAAAACGGTTTTGTACAATCAACGAAACCTTTCGTGGCTCAAAATGACGAAAAATTTCGTAAGATTTACGCAAGTTTTCCTTCTATTTACGCAGATTTTATTTACAGTGTTTTCGGTGTCCAACCAGTTTTATCGAATCTTTTTGCGAAGCAGAGGAAATGTAAAAGTAAAAAGAATGAACGCTAGCAAGGACACGAGGTTTGTAAAGGTATTTTTAATAAAATATTAAGTTAAAATATATTTAAATTGCTTAATACTGAAGAAAAAAGTGATCACGGTGGCGCAGAGAAGAAACTTAACTTTTCCTTGATTTGTGAGAATAATAAGCACAACAAATTTTATGGCTAGCTTTGATTGAGATTTTGTGTATATGTAAATGTATTTTTAGGTAGCTTTTCTAGATTTAATTAAAATTTGTAACAAGAACCGGTCTCTAGTTTACAAAAATGACTGTATGAGCTGTACCTAAATATTTTAAATTTTCCTCATACAAACCAGTTCTGGGTGAACACTAATGAGCTGCTTATCCATTAGTAATTGTAAGATAGGGAAAATGACAGCAACAATATTTATGTAAATACTATCTACATATGTATCTTCACATAAAGATACATATGTACATACGTACTATATACCCGTACATATGAATGTACCCTTGTGTTCAGCTGATTAAGTTAAGTTTTGGTTATTTTGTTTTGTCTATTTAATGTTTATAATTATTTTTATAAAAGTCTAGCACATTACATAACCAGCACCGTATGAATCCACATTTCAAACTTCGTATACAAATTATAAAAATTCAACAAACTTAAACAATTACACCCAAAAATTTTAAACTTTTTATCTTAAAGTCCAACGGGCATGTTCCGAATTTCGAAACTTTGAAATCGACTTGATTTACCAAATATTTTTTAATTATATCTGATGAAAAGAGCGAATATTCTAATTGAAAACCGTAAAAGAAGCAGCAGCGGTATGAAATAAATCATTTTAATGCGAGGCTTTAAAATTTTTGGGTTAAAAACCATCGAAAAAATTATCGAAATGGGTAGAGTTTCTCGAATTTTTCGAATTTCAGAACATGCTTGCAAATTTCATTGTTGTTCATTTTCTTCCATGTAATGTATGCTCGGCCAAGGTGGTGCAGTGCGCGCTTTCACTCATCAGCACCTGGGTTCAAGCCCTGGTCAAAGCAACATCGCAAAAAATATAGAAAAAGGTTTTTTCTTAACAGCGGTTGTCCCTCGGCAGGCAATGGCAAACCTCCGAGTGTATATCTGCCATGAAAAACAGCTTCTCATAAAAATACAATCGCCGTTCGGAGTCGGCATGAAACTCTAGGTCCCTCCGCTTTGTGTGACAACATCAAGGCGCACGCCACAAGTCGGGGGAGAAGCTCGGCCATGTGTAAGCGCCAATTTATTATTATTATTAATGTATGCCCGACAATTACTTTTCTGAATAAAGGGTTTAAAATTTTTCGTTGTAATTGTTTAAGTTTTTTGAATTTTTATAATTTGTACACGAAGTTTGAAAAGTGGATTTATGTGGTGCTGGTTATACTGGATAACAAATTTTAGTTTGGTTTTTGTTCTCCAGCTGCCACTGTCGAATTTGTATGCAGAATTGCTCGGTGATTCCGAAAATCGAGTTAATTTTTTTGCTTTGGATACGTTTTCTAGATATTTGCAATTTACCGTTATTCAGCTTGAAATAAAAAGTGGTTCCACTTATTCACGTATATCTTACGAACTAATTTAACAATCATAAAACGAGATACGTCAAATCAGAGCAAATAAAATTCTCCATAAACCATGTATAAATCACTTTCCGATAGGACTGACAGTTTCTGACAAACTAATTAATCATACCAGTTTTTTTTTATTTTTTAATGAAAAAGTTAAAAAAATCAAACTTTAACGGAAGAAAAATTTAAATAATAACAGGTTCTGTGCCAAATTTTTGCATTTGTACTAAAGCCTGTTCTGTTAAAAAAAATAAAGTTACTAATGAAGGAAAGCGAGGGATAAATAAAGAAGTAATGAGTGGAATGGTCGACAGCCAGTTCCAAAACGCCCTATCTCAGAATTCGGTTCAAAAACGCCCTATCTCAGCACATTTTCCATACATTTTCATTAGAGATAGGGCGTTTTTGAACCAAATTCTGAGATAGGGCGTCCTTTAACCAAATTCTGAAGTAGGGCGTTCGTGAAAAGTTTTCTCAGGTAGGTCTATCTTCCACTCAGGTGTCGATATGTTCACATCTATGTATTTTGAATATGAGCAAAGTTAAAATATATTGGCCCATCCATAAACCTCTTTGAAATGCTATGAAAACTTTTTTTATAAGGATCAAACAAATATTTTTAACTGTTGGTATATTTACACCATTTATATGTCGTCACTAGACACAAATAAAGGCAACGAGCTCAAACGTTGATCGCGAAAAAAGGCGCATAAAAAAAAATTTCAGCGGAGAAAGACTCTTAACATAGTTGACGGCGAAGAAAGTCGCGTTAAAATATTTGACGGCGAAAAAAAGACGCGTCAATTTATTTTCGCGGTCAACTATGTTTGCGGGTGTAACAGCATGCAAGTTCCCTAAAAAGTTTCTAGAGAATGATGCTTAAGTGACGGTCCTTGGCCAGGTATTAATCTATGTTTACGCGTCTTCCTTCGCCGTCAACTAGGTTTCGCGCCTTTCTTCGCCGAAGTTTTTTTTAAGCGTCTCTTTTCGTAAATTTTTTTTATGCGTCTTTTTTCGCCGTCAAAACACTAGCGCGCCCTTCTTCTTTTGTAGTGACGCTGCGTGTTAATTTATTATAAGCTTAAGAAAATACTCACCGGCCGTTTTCTCCTTTTTTTGTTTTTCCTTCTCCTGAAGTGGAATTTTATTAGCTAATTCTCCAGACTGAGCTGCAGTTGTGGTTCCACTTTGACCGATATCCAATGGATCCCAATCCATTCGTCTCTTTCGTGAACCACTATTTGAATAAATTGTCTGTACGTCTATAATTTGGGGTCCAGGCGTTTCTTTGGATTGTTCGTCTGAAATATGAACATTAAATACATACATATATAACTTTGACCAATTCGTTTTATGTGGTTATTAATTGATTACACAGTGCTACAAAAATATGGAATACACCTGGAACATAAAGTAGTGCAGGTTATAAGTAGGTCAAATTTAATAAGAAAATAGGTGTCCCTAAACCTTTCATTTTTTTTTTAATCACGAAGCTACACATACCTTGACCATTTTTTTATCTACTTTTAAAAATAAAACATATAAAATTATGTACATATCTATCCTCTGCAATAACGGCACAACTCAAAATTTCATGTTTTTGAGTTATATAGCGGATTAGGTTTATATATAACCATTATACAACCATATTTTTCTGCGGTAAATCGGTATATGCTTAGTCGTTACCAATCCGACAGGGGCGCAGTTTTGCCATAGGGGTATTCTCGATCCGGTGCATACTGCCTAGCATGGAGGATAGATAGCATAAATAGCATGATTGGCTAATTTTGTTGTTGTTTGAACACATGAAACAACAACAATCATGCTATTTATGCTATCTATCCTCCATGCTAGAGAGTATGCACCGGATCGTGACAACCCCTCATTTGTCACAAAACCGAAATAGCCAACCCTTACTACTGAGCAATGGCACATGTCTCACATTTATCGTGAATATTGGCATAAGTCAAAAGCGACACTTTTCGTATTGTGCCGTTATTCTTTACATAGTTTCAGTAAGGCACTAAAGGCGCACTCACCGTTTGTGACTGCAAATAATCCGGGATAATTACGTTCCAATGCATATTATTGTTAAATTAAAACACACAAAGTCTTTAATTAGACGGAAATATATCAAATTTTGAATGCGCCGTTATTGCAGAGGACCGTCGATATGTATATAAATTTATTGTTAACCTGAAACCCCCTATTTTTCTTTATTTTTCCAAGGACGACCATCGTTTATTGCAAAACTTACAATGAAAGTGGTTAAATATGCGCTAATATTCTAAAATTACTATTATTGGCGAAAAAATTGATGCCATATTTATTGAAATCAGATACAAACCATTGAAACTACCAATTTTTTTCTTAAATACGGCCTTCAATTTATGTGTGTATATATATTGGATTTTATATCTTTTGCGTAGTGTGGCCCCAGAATTCTTTCATATATTGGTGTATCCATGATGTCGGACGTGACATTCGTACGACTTCAGAGTTAAATATATTAATCATACGAAAACGAAAGCCACTTATAAAAATTAAATTACAAATAACAAAAACAGATGAGTTTTCAGACTACATGTAAAAATAAGCAAAACTGTGCGAATCCTGTGAAGTTTTCCTTTCTTAAACATTATTTTAGTAATCAAATTACGGAGCATTTCAGCCAATTTGTTTTTAATCAGAAGCAATTCGTAGGTTTAATTCTGAATTAAAATGTGATAACGGACGTGACATATCGGGCTTGACAGATTTTCGCCCATACAATATTATTGGCCCCTATTATGAGTTACATTCGATCTTCGACTGTGGTCGAAAGTCCTGATCGAACGAATTTTGATTTGGTATTATGGCGCTCATTCGATGAAGAATAGCGCTATTGTGAACTTCGCTCGTTTAAGTTGTTCACAATAGCATATTTTTCACCGCTGAGAAGCTTTGTTTACAAATCGAGCAAACTAAATAGTGTGCTTATACATATTTATGTAAATTTGTGCAAATTAAAATGAAATAAAAAAGAAAGCAAGTTTATAAAAACGTGGTAAAAATTAGTACAACGAAGTTCTGAGGTTCAACGATTCGTCAGAGGATGAGAGTTTAGTGAACTGACCAGGAGTAGTAAATATTTAAGAGGGTTTAGGTGTAGTCTTTACAATATATTTTGACATAAAATATATTTAAGAAATTTGTCTACAGATTTACTAAAAACTTCCGACTGTCTAAAGAGGCTTTTATGAGCCAAATCTATTTAAAATATTTTAAAGCTATCCACAGCTCTATGATTTGTTCTCAGAGACCGTGCCAACTGAGTATTGGGATTTTCCCTCACAAGTAAAGCAGCCTTTCGAGCTTTTGTTTTGTATTCGCGACGTTAAAACTGAATGAAATTGATAAAAAATTGTTTAAAATTAGTGTCTACCCGCCAAAAAGTAAGAAAACAAATGCAAAATCATAAATTTTTCACAATTTTCTAACACTTCGCTACCCCATCGAAAGCAAAATTCTGTTCGACAGAAAATTCGATACTCAACGAAAATTTCGACACGGTCGCAAATCGAATGCAACTCATAATAAGGACCATTATTGGTAACACATACATACATATATAATTTAATTTTGTATTTAATTTTTTCTGTTTTCCCCTCCACCGTTTCCCCTTTTCATAACCTTTTTTCGCCATCTGAATGCGAAATTGAAAGTTATAAAGCCGTTTGAATTCATTTACATTTTTATGCAAACACCCATATGTACATAATTGCAAACATACACTTGCGGTCAGCTAATTAAGTTAAGGTGTACTTACACGATATGTATTTGCATGTGTCCATGCCACTTTTCACATATGGAAATGCCAACATATCGTGTAAAGGCAAATTAGATTTGTTTATGTACAAAGCAGATGCACGTACAACGAAATAGAAATGTTTCTATTTTCATCTGACATACAAATAGAATCATCTGGGTTTGGTTTATTTCGTTTTCAAAGAACGTATTTTTAAATACTTAAATAAATACTGTGAATTTGACAAACATACGCAATAACAACCCTGCAGGGAAACCGCGGTCTCGTGAATCAAATTTCTAGTTCCGTACTAGGTCTTTATCGCCAAAAAGGCACTAGTCCGATATGAACTAGATCCCCACCAGTCCAAAGTCGGCGAAAAGTGGTATTTTTAAAATACCATTTTTTTTTAGTTTTTTTCACTAGAAATGGATATCAAAAGTGACGAATTTAGAAATGGTTCGGAACTATAGAAAAAGGGATGCAGAACGGGCTAGATCTTATTTGCCGAATTTAGAACAAGTTCGGAACTATCGAAAAAGGGATGCAGCGGAGGGCCTGTTTACTTTGCATAGGTATGTGTTCGGCGGCTTTTTCGTTCAAATACGCTTCTATTCTGCTCTTCGCAGATGCTTTTTCATAGCTTGGTAATACAAAACCAAAATTTGTGTTAACATTTCAACATCTTGGGACCGTCTGGAATCTAAGAAATAACAGCGAGCACCTCTGAAAACTCAGCTACAGCTAAAGGTATGTAAATGTACATTTCTTACAATCATTCAAACAAATTTAATTTCAAATTGAAAATACATTTCTTCCAAAATAACTTAAAATCGCACACACGGAAGAACCAAAAATATTAAAAAATCATGATACTTTTTTCTTTCGTTCGTCGATTTCAGAACTGGTTCGGAACTATAGAATTTAGGACTAGTTCGGAACTATCGAAAAAGGGATGCAGCGGGCGGCAATTGGCACTTCCTAGGGCATCGCCATGTTAAATTCGCCAGTTGCTTGCATGCAAAAGAGATTTATCTCGAACCAGTACTGGGTCTAAATGTACTAGAAGCGCACCTGTTCAGAACTAGAGATTTTCCCCACAGGGAAATGTATTGAAAGTCACATTTACAGATGCAAATACATATCGTGTAAGAACACCTTTAAGAGACATTTTGACCAGTTTTGGCTATTTTTCTTTTGTTTAATTACTGTTTATAATTTTTTATAAAAGCCTAGCACATTACATAACCAGCACCACATAAATCCACATTTCAAACTTCGTGCAAAAATTATAACAATTANGTTACTGGAAAAGCGTTCACGTACTGTTTTGTAAATTTTTTCTATGAGAGCGAATTCTTAGAAATTAAGTTACTGGANGCAAAAATTATAACAATTACACCCAAAAATTTAAAACTTTTTATTCAGTTTACATCAGAGTTGTGAAAAACGCATTATGTAAAAAATTAATGCAATAATTTTTTAAATTTAATGTAAATGAAAATTTCAATGCATTAATTCCGAAAATATAATGCTAATGATTTTTTTTTTTTGATTAACATTNAACATATCGTCGCCTGAATTGCAAAAAGACGTAACAAACATCATCATTGAAATGCAAAATGTCATAACTAATAAANATTTATTGCATTAAAACTATAACAAGCATTAAAAACCATAAACTAATTTTAGCTTGTAGTGAAAATTCTTTGTTGACGTTAAGGCAGGGTGCGGAGATCGATCAAAATACGATCTTTTCGCAATCAATCGCGGCCAAAAATTGAGTGCTTGCAATTTTTCGCGATTGGTAACGTAGCGCCAGTGTTGCCAGAACTTTTTGGGCCGACCGGCTAGATTGGCAAAAAAANTGTATGTATCTAACATTTCATACTTTAAGAACATTTAGTTAGGGAAATCCGTAACATTGTCTAATATATACTGCGCTGAAAAAAATCATTATATTCTATTGTTTTGCTAGTATACCAGACTGAAGTTCATTTCTTGAAGGAAACTTAGGTATAAAATTTTTTACAATACCCACTTTGTAGAGGATTAACCACTTTGTGTGAAAAAGGCCTACATTCTATTTGCTAGCAATTCAATACCTGCTACTGTTTTGGCGAGTGTACATACCAGNGATTGGTAACGTAGCGCCAGTGTTGCCAGAACTTTTTGGGCCGACCGGCTAGATTGGCAAAAAANGCAGTTTTTCGTTTATCGTAGAGTTTTTTACACGTACATTAACACTTGTGCATCTAAAGAACGAAATACACAACACAAGCGGCTTGACAAACCAAGCGAAATTTCCCTTTGCTTCAAGCCATTTGTGCTGTCTATGGGGTGTTTGAAGGTTTGACAAACCGCTTGAGGGAAATTTGAGCAAAAATCAAATTTTTTTGATTTTCTGGCCGCCATGTTGACGTTTGATCAAACCGCTTGCGATGTGGATGGTAAAATCGCCTCAATTGCAACTGAAATTTCACCAAGTGAAGACGTAAGGGAGAATAATGGTAG